TAATTACTTTCAGTATTAAATAGTCCTCAAGATGGGACTCAAGGACTTAGGATCTCCAGCCTATGGTGATAGAGAATTTTTTTCCTTCAATTTTCTAACAATGATTCTACAGGGACATCTAACCAAATATCTCTGAGCAGTAACCAAAATCCTTGTGGAATAATCTTGAGCAGGAACTAGAAAGCTAGAAAAGAAAATGAAAGATGCCTAGAAAGCACGAATTTGAAATAAATTCCAGCAGTCCTTGCTTTTCGTGGTTCTGATATGCATGAATTTCAGTTACTATGGTTTAGTTAAATAACACAGGTCTCCCCAAAACACAGTTCAAATTTCAGTTACCACAACATATTAATTGAGTAATTGCATAAAGTGCAAACTTCATTGCTATCTCTTCAGTCACAAATCACTACCTAAGTAACAGACATGCATCACGATCAGTGACTCATCGTGCCACTTATTTTAAAGACTGCTGGTGATTGGTCCCTGCACATCTGTTATTCAGTTCATGCACAGACAGCAAGGCATGTGTCGTGTTACCTCCTTGACTCCCAACATGACATTTTACAATGGATAATCAAAAGACGAAACTGGGCAACAAAGATGAAAGAGTAAAGAAATGAAAAGTAATAACGCTGGAAGGGAAATTCGAACAGAATGTAAATGGTATTACAGAAGAGACAGCTAACTGTGGGAATTATCAACACTCCTGCCATTCAAGCAACTCCAGATATGCAGCCAGAGGAACTTAGTAAACGTAAACTTATTGGCATAGATGAGGACAGTGAGGAGGTTGTGACAAAAAGAATGAAGATGTCCCAGAAGAAGTGACTCTGGCAAAAGACTTCACAGGAAAGGAACTCTCAGAGATAGTTCATGACATTGAAAGTGCAAAGGATAAAATGTTGGAAGCTGATCCGAATTTAAAAAGGTGTATGACAATTCGCCAAGACATAGAAAAGATGCTTGCTCTGTATTTGAAGTTATACTGTAAGAAGAAGGCAAACACTGTTCAAACTACTCTTCATAAAACACTTTAATTCTCAATGTTTTTAATATTTTAATTTACTGCGTACTAAATATTAATTTTACTATTTTTTCATTTCCTAATACAGTTATTACTGACTGAGAGTGTTTAATGTTTTGACAAAAAATTTTAAAGGTCATGGAGCAACAGTGATTTTCACAGTTATTAGATTGCTTTACAGAGTTTCAGCTTACACAGTCATGTTTATGGTCTCATGGTTCTGTGCAATGCGAGGACTTCTTATATACAATAAAAGTTTAAAGGAAGGAGAAGTAAGAATAGATAGACCTATCTCAAAGAATTTCCGGATGCTAGCTAGTTCCTGATATGGAATTGAACTTTAATCCTACAAGGACTGAAGATGCTGGTGCACAGCACTTGCAAACATTTATCAAACATCTAAATGACGGAAAGTACCTGCTATATTGTTTAGTGAGGAAGAAAAACTCTGAAAATCAGCCAGGAACTTAATTGTCAGTGAAGTGGAAACTGTGAGTTGGTATAGTTTTTAGAACAAAAACCAAGTGCCTGAAATGCAATACTATTAGAGATTTGTTACTTTGGTTAAGGCTCAGTGTTTAATTCTAGTAATCTCTGAGCTGTTTGCCAAGCATGAGATTCTGCTTAAAAGCTCATAAGTTAAAGAGAAAGGTCAAGGTGTTTAGGAACACTTCCCTGTTAGGGACCTTTGTCTTCAGAAGATGGTCTAGGGCTCACCAAGTCCTGGCTTGGCTTTGGGAGTTTAGAATCTCAGGCTTCTTCCTCAGTAGGATCAACGGCACCCTGACAAATAGTTAAGATACAATTCTGGTATAAAGAAACTCTTTCTCCTCGAAGTGAAGGCACGACCTGCTGTCTTTACTAAATGTTTGGCCTATGGAAAGTCCTGGTTTTATCTTGGATGACCAAAAGACTGACGTGCAGAGTTAGCAAAACCCTGTGGTCAAGTACAGGCCATAAATGGTAATCAGAAAAAGTTAAGGAGAACTAGAAACCTAGAAACTGAAAGTCACAGGCCTCAGTTACTATTAATACTTGAGGGGCTGTAAGACACCGCACTCTAAAGAACATAGCCAAGCAGCGAGTAGAAAACAGAGGGGCTCTCCCGGTTTGTGGAATCCCCAGGCCACAAGCAGGGGGCCTCTTACAAAGGGTGCCAAAAGAAAAGCAGAGTTAGATCCATGTCTACCCAAAGATATGACAGAAGGCACACGACTGTCTCCTCAATTGAGATGTCAGCGCTACAGGGCCAGGGGCAACACACACTTCACCTCCACCCCTCGAGCACAGAGCACAGTGCCCAGCCATCGGTAGGCACTGTCAATAGACGTTTGTTGAATAAAGTAGGTCCACATTCTGCTCTACCAATAATGGTTTCATCTACTCAATGTGTGTACCCAGATACAGGTTCACCCTTCATGGAAAAAAAATGCTCAAAACAAATTCAAGACAGGGAGGCAGTATAGCATAGTGGTCAATAGCACTGGTTCCAATCCCAGTACTACTAGGAAACAGCTGGGTGATTGCAGGAAAATTGCCTAACTCACCTGTGCCTCTATTTCTTATCTATAAAGCAGGAATGATAACAACAGTACCTGCCCCCACTGAGTTCCTGGGAGAAGTCAGTGTCATTGCAGACACAGAGTCCTTTGCACAGTGTCTATCATACACAGAAAGAGCTCAACAAATGTTTAGGTACTATTATCATATAAACACCTTTAAATGTGAGTCCAGACTGGGGGAATCAAGTATATAGGTACCTCCTCACACATGCACACACACACAAACACACACCACATTTATTTGTTCTAAGATGAGCCTAAAGAAAAAATTGCCACTGAAATATTTTTTTAGGTTCATAAGCACATTCCTTACAACATGACCAGAAGAATAAATATAAAAAAGAACATTCAACCTCACTAACACAGAAATGAAAATTAAAACAAGATGTTTTTTCACCCATCAAATTAGCAAAGTTTGCAGAATTAAAATGCTGTCAGGATTGTGAGGTGAAAGGCAGGTACTCTCATCTACAGTAGTAATTGATACAATGTTTCCAGAAAACATTTTGGCATATTGTATCAAGAGCCTTAAAATATCTCTGCCATTTCCAATCTTATCTTCAGCAGAGTTACTTTCACAGTATTAAAAAAATTTGGACATATCCTTAATATCCATCAAGATGAGAGTTAAGTAAATTATAGTGCATCTGTGACAGTAGAGCACAGGCAGATTAGAAAGATTTCAGAGCAGAAAATCAGGATGTACAAGTATATAAGCTATATGAGTACATGTATAGTTTTTCTTTTTTTATGAAAGATAACAAAAATACATAGAAAAAGACAGAAAGGGAAGCAGGAAATTCATTAGAATATACCAATAGTTTATTTCTAGGTTGTGAGACTCTAGATGATTTTTGGTTTTTATCTATAACTTCCTATATTATACAAGGTATTTTAAAGTGACATGTATTACTTTTTTAAGTCAGAAAAAAAATTGTAAAGCTTATTTTGTAAAAACATGGCTGACAGTGAACAGACTCACTCCTGGCTCAGTCCACTGAAAATAATGTCACTGATGATGTTGCCGCGATCAGCATACTGCCATCAATCCAAATGCAAAAACTCACACTACTGTGAAATAATTTCATGATCTTAAAAAGAGGCTATTTCCTACCTCAATCATATGATGTAGGCCTGGGTCTGCCAACAGGGTTAAAGGCTTTCCCTAACATCAGCGAAGACTGACTAGGTCTTGATGCTATACCAGTTTTGTCTTGACATAAAAAACTTACCAGAATTCTAAGAAAATTTCCCCAAGAATTCTAGACACTGTTTTGAAAGTGAGAATTGTGAAACGTCTTGACAGTTGTCACTGTTAGCCCTTTCTTGCCTTTTAGACAGAAGTCGAGAACAGCTTTGAAATCACAAAGCATTTCCAGAGTGCTATACAACGAGAAGAACCCTTAAAATATAAAATCAGTCATCTCCCTTCCATTTTTATCTATCACTTTAGATACACATGACTTAAACTTCTGAGTAAAAGTAAAATTCATGAAATATACAACAGGCCAATCCGCTACAATATTTTACTAGCTTTCACTTTTTTAAAGGTTGCAGAATGAAATAAATAACTGAAATCAGCATTATTTACTGGTTGCCTTGTATAAATGTTACTGGCCTTCAATGGCTGACTATTTCAGTGTGCTATAGACAAGGAATAAATCTTACATTCTAAAAGTTTAAAAGTTTAGACTGTCACCTCAGAACTTCACTAACTTTCCAAATTTCCTTTACCAAATTGATATGGAAATACGGTTGAGTATAAACATCAACCAGAAGGCATATGACCTTTCTACCTAGTAGTGACAATTCTACATTATTGATGCTAATTCTGATACAGCATTAAGATCTGCCCTGAGAAGTTTGGTCACTTAATTATTATAGCAAAACATGATCACAGAACACAACTCTCCCATGGCTACTTGCTTAGAGGCTGCAGAATCACAGGGTAAGGATGACAAAATGTTGTTCAAACTGGGCTTTTCAAGGATGAACACCTGTATACAGAGAAGTTCAAACTAGGAAACTAAAGGGAGGGAAGTCTTCACGCTCAAAAGTACAACATCCGATCCTAACATTCATGTAGGCTGTGACCATCTCTTTACCAAAGAAAATAATGTGTGTGTAAATGTTCTGTTAAACATTAAAATCAGCATGAGTTTAAGGTATTGTTATTATTAGGATTCCCACTATTCAATCTTAAGTTAAAAAAAAAACAACTTCTTAGGAATTAAAAGTGAACTGTAGGAAATTATGAGGGACAATATACACGTCAAGGAGAATATGTATATTCTTATTTATTACATAATCACACTTCCTAATACAACTTAGTTAAATAAAATATTTCACTAACATTGCCTCCCAGAAATAACAATTTCATCACTAAAACATAAATAAAAAATAGAAATACTTACTCACAATACCAAACTGTCCCCAGGACAGAAGTATAGCCAAAATTGGGAAAATAACAATGAGGATATTTTCCTTTGGAGAAAACCAAGAAACTGGGAAGAAAGAAAACAAGAATCACAATTAATATTTACTACAATCACTTTAAGTCCTGCCAATGAATGGTCAACAATATATTTTATTGTGTAGATGGGAAATAAAGATAATTAATTAATGCTGTGGCCTTAAATAACAAATTACGTATATAATTTACTTATATAACAAATTTTATTTATGAAACAAGAAACTAGCTATTTAAATGTTTCTCACCCCATTTTCCCTAACCTAGGATTTATAGAAGGAGGTGACATGGCACAGGAGCTGAACCAGGCTCTGCAGCCACACTGCCTGGGTTCGAACCCAACTCTAATTACTATCTTTATGACCTTGGATAAAGTCTTAACACCTCTCTGTTCTTCAGTGTCGTACACCGTACGACACAGTACCTTCCCCATGAAGGGCTGTTGTGACAGTCAACGAAATCAATATATGCAAAGGGCTGCTTAAAACAAAGCTTGGCATGTACCAAGTACTCAGTAAACATTAACTACAATGATTATTATGTGCTTCTCTGGTGAACGCTTGTATGTGTAACGTGCCAAGAGTTTATCCTAAAGCAACGGTGAAGTCTTCCTGTAAAGACTCAGAGGACGGAAGTGAGGAAACTGTACAACTGAGCACCCTCCTCTCCTTAGTGTGACTAAGACGGAGACCAATGCGAGCCCCACCTTTTCTCAAATTTACTCTGGAACAGAAGATGTACTCACGAATAATAAGGCTTCAAACGACTGTTTACATGTAAAGTAACATGAAGGGCTTTAGGTATTAAAGAAGCTTCTAGGAAGCATCACATTATCTAGACAGTGAAAATAGAGCCACACATTCCATAAAAAGGAAGTTGTGATATTAAGACTTCAAGTGAGATTTGTTCAGAACTTTAAAAAAAATTAAGTTTAATTGTGTCTTATCAACTCTTAAGACCATAATTTTACCTATGAAATTTCTTTTCTAACAATAAAGCCAAGTAAATGCATGGTGAGCATTTCAAAGTTCACCTGAACATGGGGGATTTTCAGTGAGAGCAACACTTCTGAATACTGCCAGAAGCAAACACTGGGGTTCCCCAAAGATTAACCCTTTCTTTTTTTTTTTTTTTTTGTGAGGAAGATCAGCCCTGAGCTAACATCCATGCTAATCCTCCTCTTTTTGCTGAGGAAGACCGGCTCTGAGCTACCGTCTATTGCCAATCCTCCTCCTTTTTTTTCCCCAAAGCCTCAGTAGATAGTTGTATGTCATAGTTGCACGTCCTTCTAGTTGCTGTATGTGGGACGCGGCCTCAGCATGGCTGGAGAAGCGGTGTGTTGGTGCGCGCCCGGGATCCAAACCCAGGTCGCCGTAGCAGAGTGCGCGCACTTAACCGCTAAGCCACGGGGCCGGCCCAGATTAACCCTTTCAGATCTTCCATTGCTCTGCCTCTCCTATCAGCACATGAGGAACCTCGTGGGCTTTCATACCATAATGCTAGCCATGCATTTCTTGTGTTAAGCTTATAATGTTAAACTCTGGTAAATGTTCACACTAATCCCCAGAATATAACAATATTATAAATTCTATTTTAGAGATATTAGCTTCCCAGAATCTAGCATTTTGTCCTGTACATAGCAGACTCCAGGGGGTTGCTGTTGATGGTTCCATGAGATAGGCTAGTGAGCGAATGAAGACAGGTTTTTTTTTTGAGGCTCCCATGGCTTCAGATCTCTACTAAGACATGGATGTTTTCAGATACGCTGAATCTATACCTTAATTTCCAACTGAATCATTGAGCATCTTCCTGTACCAAAGAAAACCCATTCCAATTTAGTCTAAAATCCTACCAGAAAAAACTTTTGTGAATTATGCTTAGGTTTTCATAACTAATGCCCAAAGGATTTGGTAAAAGTTCCATGATCTAATGACTATTCTCAATCAACTTATTTTTCTCTACCCACTTTCTCTATTATTTTATTTTGAGTTGTGTACATTAACTCTTCAAATCCTCACAATTATTATATGAGGAATTATTAACCCCTCCTTACATTGAGGAAACTGAGGCACAGTGAATTAAGGATCTTAAGTATCTTAAATTTTCATGTCCCAAACTGATACCCCTCACCCAATTCTCCCACCAAACCTCCCCTCTTGATTTTCTCCATTTCCATAGTGGTGACTCCATTTCTCCAGCTGCTCAGGCCAAAACCCTTGGAATCATCCTTGACTCCTTGGTTTCTCTCACACCCCACATCTGGTCCAACAGTAAATCCTGTGGGCTCTACTTTCAAAATATAGATATCTGATCTCATGTTCAAGATGAGCTGATAATGAAATGTTGTTTCACTCTCTCCCTACACAATAGAACAACCTTCAACAGTTTTAGGACATATTAACAGAAATCTACTAGTGAAAATAAGAGGTGCGTTTGACCCTGGTCTCAGCACTCATTTTTCTCTTATTACTCAAACATTTATTGAAAGCCCACTGTGGGTAGGGTACTCTTCTAGATATTTGAGGTCCGGCAGTGAACAAGGCCACAAGCTTGAGGAAGAGAGAGGGTTGAAGAACAGACTCCTGTGGGTATGGCAGTTCTGAGTTCAGTTTCACTCATCATATTTAAAGACACAACAGGGAATTGTTCCAAAGGAAGGTAATTAGAATGGGGATCCTGAAACCATGAGCAATGGCTGAAAGAGCTGGAGATTTCTACCTTAGAGAAGAATAAACTCAGAAGAGGAACATGATAGACTTCCTAGTGAGTGGGAAATTTCAGGGATGCAAATCTTAGCTTGACTTATGGGAGAACTGGAACTGCCTGCTAATAGACCAAGATCCTTAAGTAACAGTCTCATCATGTCAAGCATTTAGGTAAAAAGTTGGAACGACCAACTACCTGGGGTGTGATAGAAGTAACTCACGAATTAGATGTAGAGATAGACTAGATGACTACTAGATGACTCCAAGTCTCTATGCAGAAATAAGTGTAAGAATTATCTCAATGACTGGAAGAGGGTGTGACTATGGAACAAAAAATTTTAAGTCTAAGTGATTCTTAACTGGAGATTATCAGAATCACCTGGGGTTTATTCAAACTTCACACACTCTCCCCTCTTAGCTCCCACCCCAAGATTTTAATATGTTCCCCAAGGTAAGCATGTGTGTGTGGGGGGGGAGAGTCCACGATTCTCTCAGTTTAAAATCACTGCTACAGACCTCTGCTATAATTTACCTCCTCTCACTGACACAAATATGTTACCTCTCTCTAACTTGTTAAGGTGGAAAGAGTTTGACAATCACTGAATTTGACATTTAAGAACCAAATGAGATGCTGGGGGAAAAACCTGATGTTTTATGTAAAACCACTTATATGCCCATGAAGCTATTGATTTATGATGGTAGTACTGTCAGATGTTCCCCAAGGGGAGAGAGGGACAAGATACTTCTCTAAGGTCTCTTTCAGCTCTGAATTTCTATGGCACTAATAAAATAAGCCTAAAATGGACTAAGAATAATATCAGATATTTTTCTACCTCAGGATTAAGAAAGATAACCCAAGGGCATCCATAATCTTATTCCACTGAAGCTATGGCTGATAACTCTGCTCATTACTCTCCCCTAATTCCTGGTCAGGTAGAGTGGTTCCAGGAAGATGAACTTCTTATTGGTGGAAAGGCAAAGAAATGATATTAAGAGGGTGTGGTCTGTGGATGAGTGTTTAAATTTTGCTTCCAAGCCTAAGCATTATAAAAACTCAAGACTTCATTTCTGTTATCATTGTATAAAAATGGGATAACCTAAAAAAGTGAAGAGATCACTCCAATTAATTAAGTGTTCCTCTCCTTCAAATACATACATGGTAAACCTTCACAAACAGAGAAAACACCAGTTTCCACAAAATAAGATTACAATAAAATTTACAACACTAAAATTCAAGCCACATTTTTACTTATGTTTCAGGATTGTGATGGCTTTTTTGATGTATTGACTTGGTTAGGCTACAGCCCCTGATTATTTAATCAAACCCAGAATTCTAAGGTGCCTCTCCAGAAATCCCTGCCCCCTACAATCAGCCTTTTATAATTCTCTCTCCTTGAAGGAGGGATGAGACTGTGACTATGATAGATTTCACTCCCATGATTATGTTAAGCCATATAGCAAAAGGGATTTTGCTGATGCAATTAAGGTCTCCAATCAGTTGACTTTAAAAAAAGGGTGACTGGGGCCGGCCCCGTGGCTTAGCGGTTAAGTGCGCGCACTCCGCTGCTGGCGGCCCGGGTTCGTATCTGGGGCCTGCACCAACGCACCGCTTCTCCGGCCATGCTGAGGCCGTGTCCCACGTACAGCAACTAGAAGGATGTGCATCTATGACATACGACTATCTACTGGGGCTTTGGGGGAAAAATAAATAAAAAAAAAAAAAAAAAAAAAGGGTGACTGTTCTTGGGAGAGAGGGGGCTGACCTAATCAAGTGAACCCTTAAGAGAATCTGGGCTCTTCCCGGCAAAAGAAATTCAACATGTTCGAGGGATTCAACAAGAGGAAGACTCTCCTTTGCAGGCTTTAAATATGGAAGGGGCTGTGTGGCAGGGAGTGGGGGCAACCTCTGGGGGCTGAGACAAGCCCCTAGCAGACATCCAGAAAGAAACAGGGACATCGGTCCTACCATCACAAGGAATTGAATTCTGCCACAATCACGTGAGCTTGGGATGGGACCCTGAACTCCATATGAGAACACAGCCTGGCCAACACCTTGATTTTAGCCTTGTACAACTCAGAGTGGAGAACCCAGTCACACCATGACCAGAACTGTGACCCACAAAGCTGTGAGTTAATAAACGGGTGTTGTTTTAAGCTGCTACGTTTGTGGTTATTTGTTACACAGCAGGAGAAGACTAATACAAGGATCTTGCAATCCTCCATGTCAACATTATGACTCTAATGTATATTATGCCGATAATGATGGAAATAGCAACTCTGCTGAACTTGAACTGACCTTTTTAAACAAAATCCTAATAATGTAAAATTTTAAGCTTCCAAGTTTTTGTATCATTAATAATATAAATATAGATATTAATAACAAATTTTGTAACTATTATTTACATTTGGTATTTGGTTGTTTACAAGGTGTTTTCACAGAAACCATATACTATAGTGGTAAAAATACTGGGTTTTGAAGACAGACAGATCTAGGTTAAAATCCTGGCTATGACTCTGACCTTGAACAAGTACCCTAAATCTCTTTTGCGTCCTCATCTGTTAAATGGTAAGATCTGTATCTATCTCCTAGAGTTATCAAGAAGATCACAGGATACACGTACATAAGTGTCCAGCATGAGCTCAAATAAATGTTAGGTTATTTTACTGCTCTTATTTGTACTACTATCACTTCCTTGAAAGCAGGGATCATGTCTCGGTCATCACTGAATCCACAGAGCCTGGCATATAGTAGATACTCAATAAATGTTTGTTTAAGTAAGAGAGATATCAACTCATTTACATCTCAAACCATTCTGTGATGGAGATGGCATCCCCATGCTACAGATAAAAAACTGAGGGCCAGATGGTTGAGTTTCTTATCCAAGTTTTCTTAAACTAGAAAATGGTGAAAGCTTTCTAAACTCAAGTCCTGTGTTCCTTCCATGGTACTGTACTACCCACAGGCACCAGAGGTATATAAAGTCTGTCTTATAGGCAGTATTTCCACACATTCAGCACTAGTGCTCCAAAAAATGGCACAAATGATGGCCACCATTACTCCGCTTTCTACCAAGTGGAATTCTCTATTAAGTCATTTCTATTTCTCATTTATGCCTATAGTTGCAAAAAAGCACAACATAGTAAAAATGCTTTCAATTCCCTAAATCCCCAAAGTCCACATGATGGGTAGATATCATTATCACAACAAATTTGTATTCCACAGAAAGAGTCCTGCCCAAATTAACCTTTTCATGCAAAGGAGGTTTTCTTTTCTTTTTTTTTTTTTGCAGTCAAAAATGGATGCAAAATAGTGACAACACCAGATGCTGGCAAGGATGAGGGGAAGCTAGATCACTCATATGTTGCTGATGGGAATGTAAAATGGAATGCCACTCTGGAAAACAGTTTGGCAGGTTCTTTAAAACTAAGGATATACTTATATACAACCCAGTAATTTCTGGGCATTTATCCAGAGAAATGAAGACTATGTCCACATAAAAACCTGTACACAATTGTTCACAGCAGCTTCCTTTGTAATAGCCAAAGAGTGGAAACAACCAAAATGTCCTACAACAGGTGAATGGTTAAACAAACTGTGAAATATCCATACAATGGAATACTACTCAGCCAAAAAAAAAAAGAAGAGAGAATGAACTATTGATACACGCAACAACTTGGATAGATGATTCCATTTATATAACAGTGTGAAAGAGACAAAATTATAGATACGGAGAACAAGTTAATGCTTTCCAGGTTAGGGATGGTAGGGGTGAGATCTTTGTATTAATGGAATAGTTCTATATCCTGATTGTGGTGGTAGTTACAGAAATATACACATGTGATAAAATGACAGAAATATATACACTGTACATTGTGAATTTGCTGGCTTTGATATGTTACTACACTTACATAAGATGCAACCGTTGGGGGAAACTGGACAAAGAGTACACAGTACCTCTCTGTTCTATCTTTGCCACCTCCTCTGAATCTACAATTATTCCAAAAAAAAAAAAAAATAGGTGTGAAGCCTAATATCTGAGACCTCTGGTAGAATTTTCTATTCTTTGAAAAAAAACAATTCCTCCTCATATTAATGGCCCCAAAAGTAAGCATAGCTCATATTTTATAGGGCACGTTGAAAACAAAGAAACAAAACAAACAAACCTGGTAACAGACATCTTAAAACAGTAAACACTAGAAGAACAGAAGGCGAACAGCTGATCCAATTCAGCTGTTCGGATTCCGTCTAAAGCAGAGGTTCTCAAAGTATGGTCTCGTCCCGAGGTCAGTAATACGTCTCGTGATTCTGAATAGAGCTGTCAACATAGAGAGTCAGAACACACTTGCGTGTGGTGGAAGACCTCAGCTGGCACATCAAGGAAAAGAAAGCCGACTGCTGACTTGAGCTAACTGTACTGCCTTACACAGCTCACCAACCCAACCTTGCGAAGAACGTGCAGAGCCAGGGCGCTACAACCAAGGCAAATTCAAGCAAATTAAATTGGATCTCTGGCTCTCCCATATCCTGGCCCAGGAAAAAAGCAGCAAACCACGGCTCAGCATAGGGAACCTCACGGGGTCATCCACGGTGAGGCGTGTTTAATCTCCTGATTCTCCCTCTAATCTATGCTTTCCAGAGGGAGCATAGCTGGGACTTGTCAACCCTTGATCAAAGTGCAAAGTTAGAAAAAAAAAAAGGCTAAATAATTGGAAAGAGGCCGGAAAATCACATAAAAGAAAGTACTTTTTTTTTTTTTTTTGGTGAAGAAGATGAGCCCTGAGCTAACACCTGTTGCCAATCCTCCTCTTTTTGCTGAGGAAGACTGGCCCTGGGCTAACATCCGTGCCCATCTTCCTCCACTTTATATGTGGGATGCCTGCCACAGCATGGCTTGATAAGAGGTGGGTAGGACTGAGCCCAGGATCAGAAGCTGTGAAGCAGCACGTGGAAACCTAACCACTACGCCACCAGGCTGGCCCCTCGAAAGAAAGTACTTTTGACAGCAGCAAAGAGAAATGCAGAGCAGGTGACACCAGGACCGCTCACACCAACACAACAGTCCTCAGACCAAAAATCTGAGAACCACACAACATACAATTTAGCAAACAGCAAAGGAGTTTTACTGTGAAAAGTAAAAGAGCAAGTAAGATAAAACTCATGATCTTAAAGTTGCTAACAAACATTACATCAACTTTTATTATTAACAGCCTGCTTTTTGATTCTAAGGAGTTCCCAGTCTCATTCTGCGCCCTTTCCAATAGGATCAGGTTGCTGCAGGACAAATAAAAGAAAAGCTCGTATAGAAGTCTTACCAACACGATATTTCAGTTCTATGATGGTTTCGCCTTCTCTGCTTAATTCTGTCACTTCACAGGTATAGTTTCCTACACGGGCGTCCCTCTTATCCATCTTCAAAGAGGCAATGCCTTTTAGTAATTCTGAAGGTGTGATAGTTGCACTGTTAAAGTCGGGGTCATTAGTGGTCTTTTGCTCTTGTCCACTGTAGGTGTAAATGTCTTTTCCTTTAAATTTCCACTTTACATACATTTCAGTAATGCTTTTCGCCTCCACATTATTAACAAAGCATGGGATGATGACACTTTCATTGCAAACGGTGTATTCTACAGACTTGGTTATATTAAATATTAGCTGAGCGGAACCTGGAAAAGAAAAATAAAAGAAAATTCATTTTGCTATAGAATTCTATAAGATCTTAGTTGTGTAACAAATCCTTAAGATAAAGAGCAATGCTTCAGTTGTTCACGTAAGCAAGCAGTGCAGCTGGAGAGAAGACCCGAGGGTGAAAAAAAGAAACAAAGTATTTTAATATCAATGTGCACAGCTGGTAGACAACACTGTAAATTTTCCTAATTCTTTCTCAGTAATACAAAGTATACATTATCATGCGTCTTGGAAATAAATTCAGCAACCATGTTGGAACATGCAGGTGTGGTATCCGGCTTTGGAAGCTTCTGAGTAATCATTACTGCCTACTGATATATGTAGAAAAATATTGTCCTTACCATGGGAAAATTCTGAACAGAAAATCAAACCAAATATTATATTCAGTCTCAACTCCTATACACTTCCTCCAAATACCACCTGCTAAACTGATATGAAGTTTATCTCTATCCTTATGTTGCATTTCCAAAAAAGGTGGCAGGCTCTACTATACTTTAATATAAAAAGTAAATTGGATGAATCACATCACATCTTTCCACTAGTCTTAGAATGCTAAGGAGAAAAAATATTCTCCGTGGCTATTTCCACACTGCAAAATACAGACAGCAATAGACGTTTGTATGTAAGTATTATAAAGGATTATATACAATTGAAAGGCATTTTCCCACCCCGATATTTCATTGAAGCCACAGAATAACAATTTCCAAATGTATTTTACAGGTATACCTTTCTCCTAGAAATCATAAACTGCTCAAAATAAAGCTAAGAAACTCATTGAAACCAAGAGCAGATACTGCTAATAAGAAGGCTATATTCTGTCAACTCTTCTCAATAGAATAAACTACCAGTCATCGCCTTATAAAAAAGGAATTGGGAAAGTAAACACAATCACTCATCTTTCATCTAAAACATGCAAGAATGTGGAGAAATTGTAGTTGTCTTCCACATTTTTCAGCCATTTATCAACTCTCTTATCTAAGTAGTTAGTTGGCCTTTCTCTCAAAAAACAAAGCACTAACAAATATAAACAAAATAGCAATTTTAATAGTTCATCCTTAAGCTTTCTTCCTTCTATATAAACTGGGAATAAAAGTCAGGCGCATAGGATGTTATTATTCTAGGAACATAATTCTTATTCAATAAACGCCCACTGAATTGAATGCTAGGACACATAATGGAATATGAACGGAACAACGTTCGGAAAGCCTGAGTACAAATCCCATCTCTGTCACTTTTCAGTATGCGACCTTAAGCGAGTCACTTAACATTTCTATGCTTTGGTTTACTCTCTGTAAGTAAGAGGATCAAAAAGGAACACTGGGCCACTTCACAGAATTGTGGTGAGCATCTAAGGAGAAAATATACAGGCAAGGCTCTCCAACAATCCTGTGCTATAAATATGGAGCATGATACTAGGAAAACTAGGCAATGTGGTATTTTCATGTAATGATCGGAAACATCTCTGGCAGGTCTAAATTGTTATATTTCTGGTAATTTCAGTCTGAACCCACCTTGTGAGCGCCAACAGCTCACCTCTTCCCAGTTTTCTACATTTCTAGCCACCCAAATATTAGGAAGCCTCAGGCAAACCTGGATTTGCAATTGAATTCTTCAAAACCTGAGACTTGTGAATTATTTCCCCTGAGAAAGAAGCATTGAGGAGCAGACTATAGCGTACAACAAGGAGAGAAGAAGGTGGCTATGATGCTGAATTAGACAGGACGGAAAGTGTCAGAAAAGATGGTGAGCGATTTTGAAATGGACAAAAAGATTACCAGGCGTCCTTTCAGTGGAACGCTGGGCATTGTCTGACAGATCCTCTGGCAATATCTGATTTTATAGGGGCTTGTGCCTTTTGCTGTGTTTGACTGGGCTCTTTTACAATTTCGTGAGTTGTAGAAAACCGATGATAATGCAAATGATTCGTGTCCACAGAGACACAAATAAGCTTTGTTCTGCAATTGATTTCCACCTAGTGGAAGACAGGAAAAAATTTTCAAAAAATTTCATTTTACTGCCCTGAGGATATTGACCAATTTTGCACCTATTAGCAAATCCATTTCAGCATTCCTGATTGCCTATAAATGTGTCTGTTTTTCCAATTTTCTTTTAAAACCCAGATGGTCTTCCATCTTCCTGGTTTGCTCATTAATTAATGCGTGAAATAAAATCTTTGACGTGTTCATTTTATATGTTTGAGTCAAGATTTTACCAACTACAAATTATCCTTTAATAAAAGAGATACAAGTGAAGAGCTCACTTATCCTGGTGAACTTTTTTAGAAGGCTCTAGGTAAGCAGAAATGGTCAGCAAACACTCCACAATTTCATAACTTATGTTTAGAGAAAAAATTTTCTAAAGAATACAGAAAGCACTAATTGCACTGCATTATTTATTGTAATAAAAAAATTTTATAGCTGAAGCAGTTTAAGTAGAATAAATGCTGCCAATAAAATTCAAAGTAAAATTGACCTGGATAAAGCATAACTTGAATAACCCTTACACTAATAATTAATAAATAAGGGTAGTCTAAAAATGTCACTCCAGCAGCTGTTAACTACAACTTCATCCTCTATAAACACTTATTAAAAAACAATTAAGTAGTAAAATTATCTGGTTTGCATTTTCTCTCTTTTGGCTACTGCCTTCTGATGAAAGAGCAAAGTGAAAGAAAGATTTAAAATATAGAGATAAACAAAGGAACATAGATAATTAATATGAATAAGGAAATTCTCAATAATCAAGATATGCCTATAGGAGTCTAAATCAGATAGGAGTAGACAAACATAACCATCAGTGATGCCAGAGTTACAGATAAATTAACAAATGAAATGAGAAAATTATTTTACATCAAATACCAAAAATATTGGACCTTACAACCTCTGTGAATACAGACCACCAACCCAAACCATCTCATACCACAGTCCTGAAAATAGCTACTATGTAGTTGCAAAGAAGGCTCAATACATTGCAGTCACAGCACACAAGTCCAGCTCAGAAATTTAAAAATGCAACAAACATTTATTGAGAATTACCTACCTGAAACACTGTGATAGGATGTGGAGATACAATGATGAAAAAAATATAGGAATTATCTTTTAGAAGCTTACACTTCTCTCTTGGGGAAACGTTATGTACCTTGCATAACACGAGGTCATAAGTGCCATCCTTCCTGTGTGAACGAAGTTCTATGGATGGGCAGGAGAGTAATCAGTCTCACAGATTTCTAAGAAAATCTGTGTTGCTACTAAGGGAACAAGAGAAGATTGTCGCAGTCCCCACCCATCTGGGCCTTCAGTCTTTTATCTTTTTACTGGGTCACTCTCCTTTGGCAAGAGCTTATCCTATACTCTTCAAAGAAGCCCTCTCTCCCTGTTTCTTAATGCTAATTGATTCCTTCAGATGAGAAGCCAGAAGCTTCCAAAACTCCCACCTACAAATTTACCTGCAACCCCAACTACCTACACGCCCCCCCACAGTTCCTCCTCTTCAGAAATGAATTCTTTCACCTGAGAGCTAGTAGCCATTTCTGCCTCCACACCCATCAATCTCCTTAAGGCCTTTCCCTAGCTGATTATCAGCCTCCTACAGCCCTCTATTCCATTTACATGGGTTATTTATTTATTTATTTTTACATTTTAAAAAAATGCTTGAATATTAGCCAACTTCTTAAAAATCCCTCATACCTGTCTCTCTCTTCCCTAGAATCCTAAAATAATAATCTAACTGCATTTCTTCACCTCCTATTCACTTCTTAAATCTCTGCCATCCGGCCTCCACCTCCCCACCTCTCCTTCTTCACATCAAACAGCTCTTGCCAAACTCACCAATAGTCCCTTGTGAAAAATTAAATGTGCATGGTTCACTGTCTGTCTTGACTTCTCCACAGTCCTTGAGCCAGTGGGCAGCTCCTTTCCTGCTCTTGTCCCTTGGCCTCTGTAATATCTCTTGATTCTGAATTTCCTTCTACTGCTTTGTCTACTCCATCCCAGCTTTCCTTCTTTATTGAACTCTATTCCTTGACACAGTAAATATGAGTGTTCCTATGGCCTTCCTACCCAGCATTGCCCTTCCCCTCAGTATTCTCCCTTACTCCATGGTTTTAACGACTTACACACAGTTTATTTAACCAGGCCCCACCTTTCTCCCTAACTGCAGACCTTGGAAAGCCAACCGTCTGCTGTGCATTCCCACTTGGATGCACCACCGTTACTTCAAAGTCAACAGGTCCAAAAACCTATTTACCCACCCCCTACCCTCCTCCCAAACCCTCAGCTACCTAAAGCATTTTCTATTATTTACCAGTCAACCAGACCTCGACCTAAGACTCATGCTGGATTCCCCCTTCTCCTTAGCCATGGAGAATTCTTGGTAGGCTCAACCTATTTAATAGTTCCTAAATCAATGTCTGTTGTATGAAAGAACTAGACATTCATCAATTCTCCCTTGAACTACAGCCATATCCTCCTAACTCACTCCCTGCCTCCAGCCTCAACGTTTCCCTATCTCAGCCCCAATGTATTTTCCACAGTTCCCAAAATAGCTGTTCTAAACGCAAATGTGCACTCTTTTGCCTAATATACAACACCCTCTCCCCTTTTCAGGCTAAATTCTAAGTGCATTAGCATGGAATACAAACCAGGTCCTTCAAGATCCTGTCTAGCTCCATCTCCTGTACTAACTTCATTTCCAGACTAAGCTCCAGTCTTAATGACCTTCTTGCAATCCACGAATATGCACATGAACTCCCATCTCCATGCCTTTGCACATATTATTCTCCCAGCCTAAAGAAACTCACACCCTTCACTGGGTGCCTAGGTAAGAGCACACATTTTGGAGTCAGATTTTGGCTCAAGACTTAGCTCTTCCCAGAAGTATAACCTTAGGCAAGTTACTTAACCTCTGAACCTCAGGTTCCTCATCTATAAAATGTGAATAGTGATAGTACAGACCTCATAGAGATTTTGTTAAGATTTAATGAGGCAAGAACA